TAGTATCAAGATTCTTGTCAGCTTTAAGAAATTTGGAATTTATATTTTGTTTAATTGTAAAATAAAAATTCAATATCTTATGAATATGCATACATCAAAATGCATAAGGACTATAGATAAATTACCTTGTGACAAATGTTACCAAATTTTACATCTTCACACAAATGTTTGAGAGGACAGAAAATTATTCATAGTTTCCTGAATCAAGCATATTAAGTGAACATGAAAAATGTACTATGAAACATGAAGAATGCAATGGAGGTACAAAGGTATATAAAACAGACAAAGCAGTAGGTTTATTTCAAATTTTGAAGTGTCTATTTTTAACACTTTTTTGTAAATTCTTTCTCTTATTACAAAGAACAACTACCAAATAAATAATTATCTGGGAAAAAATCTCAAGGAAGTGATTTTGAAGATGTTATTTTTTTCAGATATGTAATTGTTTGATATGACCTTTAGGATGAACTGTAATAAGTTACTTACTTAATTTTGCCCATTTTGCACCTTGTGATATTGAATTTTTTAGGATTATTGAGCCCACATGCTGTAATGAAAATTGTATATAATTTACATATGCTTATATATGACAAACTTCAACATATATATGTGTCTGGCAATAGCATATGCCAGTGTTAAGGAACTGATAACGTATATTAACTGGATTATTAACCATAAACTTAATTCTTAGAACAAGATCTTTGTGGTAAAATTTGCTAATTTTTTGCTAAACATCAGTGTACTCCTTTCTCATTAGAAACAAAACCTAAATTTTTAGCTGGTTATATTACTTCCCATAATAGAAAGCACATTGTCGTCCAGACATTTTTACAGCTAAATTTCGCCATGAAACTGAGTCTGGCTTTGAGATATTAAAGAAAAATATTTGTGAGAGTTTTCTGAAAAATGGCTTAAAGAGAATTGACTCAGCTGAAAGTTTAATATAATGTTCCACCTTTCCTCTTCTCATTTAGCCCGAAAAATCAGGGGTGATAGCTGGAGCGCCAATAGCCACATTGGAACATAAGGTAATTCTGAGAGTAGAAATCAAGGTGCTGGTATTATACAGGAATAAGAGAGAAACTTGTGTCCTTGAGAAAATATGCAACCACCATTCCTGCCAACAGTTTCTACTTTCAGACTTTTGCTATGTGTGAGAAAGATAAGGTTCTATCTTGTTTAAGTCATTGTTGTTTTTGTGTTGTTGTTATTGTTAAGCAAGAATTCCACCTGAGCCCAAACTAATACTCAGTGTGTGGTTATATTTGATGGATCTGTAGGTCAATACCATTCACTGCCAGCTATTAGTATGTTGTTAAGGAGAGTTTGAAATTTATTTCTCTTAGCATGGAATGACTTGTTAAATACATATGTGAGTAGGTAATAATGCTCTTATTTCTCTTTAGTCTGAAAATTTGGACAGGAACAGGGACAGCCTTATACTTCCTAGGCAATACCTTTAAACAGTAAATTTATTCATTCAATAAAATATTTTTTGACTAGCTATTATGGATCAAATAAATTATTGGAATGCTTTGCTATTTAATCAACTCATGTTCATTATTACATGAGTCACCTGTAAGTTTGGAGAAAGTAGAAAAAAGAGAAGAAAAATATTTGCCCCAAATAATTATGTTCTTAAAATTTTTTTCCTGTGTTTAAATATAGGATTATGTGAAATATTAATGCTGAAATTACAAGGGTTTGTAGGTACCAATACAAAATTGCCCTGCCACAAAGTCTGCTAGTCTTTTCTGGGAGTCCTGGGGGAAGGATCTCATATGTGCTTAAGATCAGTTTATATATATTAATCACCCACTGGCTGCTATGGTGTTTGCAAAGCTCAGGTAGCTGTCTCACCATTCTGCCTCATGTAAGGATCTTCCAGGGAAACACTCCTCTTCTATAAAAATGCCATATCCAAGTTCACTCTAGGTTACAAATCACCATGCTGCCTGCCAAAGGAGGCTACTTTCACGCTAAACCACACAGTGTTGGAAACTGACTTGTTTAGAAATGAGGAATTTCTCTAGACAACTCTGTCACCTTAATGTAATACTGCTTATGTTCTGAATATCACAAAGTCTCCCATGAAAACATTTGTTCACTCTTTATAGTCCCTTAGTATACATTCATTTATTATGCTCCGCCCCTTGTGTCTCCATTGGAAGTGCATGAGGTATAAAGTTTTATCTCAATAGTTTTTTATTCTCCCATGTGCGTCAACTTACGCTAATAGTTTGCAGGGAGGACTACTGTATTATTAATTCATCAGACATAACCAAATCCTTCTTTGGGTTCAAATGAACACCCTGCTACACCAGAACTTAACTTGGACTCTAGATGGCTTTGATAAAACAGTTAGTTGAGAATGAAGCTGTAATTTCTTGATATTATATTTTATGTGTGTGTAATATCTATGTATTAATCACATCCCAGAGAACTTATAACTTGTATCAATGTGATATGCTTGATACCATAGGCAATGCCATTTTCTCATTGTCATTTCTTTCAGTTGCAAAAATAATGTAAAAGGAATGCTAATGCTATTATATGTATTTTATTTATTTAGATATAAATATGAGTAATGTACTTATTCCCTTAAGCCACTGTTTTCATACATGCTAAAAACTTTCTACATATAGTTTATATACTTTTTGGATTTATTTAAAAGGTGACCCAGTAAGTTTTTTTCTTTTGCAATCTTCCCTTAGTGAATGTAGTTTCTGTTACTATAAGTAAAGGAGAAATGCATGGGTAGAGGAGATATGGAGAGTCCAGTACTTTTATAGATAAACACAATGTGAAAACAAGGGAATGCTCTGTAATTATTGGCACAGAAATAATGGTGAAGAAACAAAATTACTTCCTGAATCATATTTCATCACCTTACTCATTGCAAAGAAATGTTTTGACTATTTTAACCATCTGAATTTAAGGCTTTAAAGTGTTTTGTGAGAACTCAAGATCCTTGACAGTAATAATTACAGTACTAAAATGTTTATTTAGGTAAAAAGTGGTTATAACCATTAAGAAACATTTTATCAGTTTACTCAGAGAATGAATATATATTCATTCATATATTCATATATATGTATCACAAAATATTACAACATCTGAGAAGCCCACCTGTGAAGTTTATTTAAGACTACCAACTGTAGGAATGAAAATTGCAAAGCATGACAATCAGAGCAATTTTTAGTAGTACATGTGGTAGGATTGAAGTTAAATAGAAAAAAAATCGAAGGCATGTTTTTAATCCATAGCGTTGTTGAAAGAAGAGTCCCAGACTAGCTGGATGTGGACCTTTCCAATGGTAGATAGAGCCACAGAAAGAGAGATTATAAATGCTGGGATAAATGGCAGATACAATAAAGTTTGTTAAAATCAAAAGAAAATGGAGACCAGCTTTGAGTCTTCCTTGAGCAGACAAAATCAGCTTAGTCATTAATTTAGTTTAATTACCAATCACTATGAAGACACTGCTTTCTCACCATATAAACTGTTCTGTAATGATATACTGCAATCTCATTCCATGTTTTGGTTTGAGGGCTCCCGATTTGCAAACTGTCTTTTTGTGGTGTGCACAATAAATTTTTACCAATTACTAATTCAATGATTCATTGTTTTTACTGTGGCTATTTCTGAATTTTTGAAAGGTTGCTTTTATGCTGAAGAGCAATCTACGTAAAGGTGACTTGGACAAAATATAAAAGCCGTTTTCTCTTCAGTCGTTTATGCAGAAGCTTCTACTTAATAAAAGGAGTGATGTATATATTAGCGATTCCCATCATCCGTTTCACTGTCCTGGCATTTATGGAGACTGTGTGGCCATTGTAGTCAACTATTTGCTTTCTCATCAGCCTGGTATTCAATCTGCAGTCCCTCCACAACTAACCGTTAAGAGGGAAACACTCAGAAATTTAGGAAGTTTTGTTTGCCAATCAGGTGGGTGACTGTTGCTCTTTCTTTGACAGCCAACAAGAAGCAGTATCTCAGACCTGCTAGGCTGCGGTCCTGGGTAGAATAGTTTGGCAGCCCTAGGGATATGAAATTCTTCAGCCTGGGACACGCCCAGATTAGAGAAGCAACACCCTCTCAGCCACTACTCTGTTGCTATGAAACAAAAGACTAGGAAGGTGAGCAAAAGCAGGAAGTCCCGCCTTTTAGTCCCGGTTGTCTTGGGCTAGCGCTCCGAACTCACGCCCACCCGTCCAGTCCTTATTGGTCAGCTCCCTAGGGCGTTTGAATCTTTCCTTCCATTTCTTTTCCCTTTTCCACTTTCGTTCTCGGGTGATTCCAGTACCCCCATTTCCCTCAGAGTCCCCTTTCATTTGGGCGCTATGACCAGTGGGCCTTCCTTCGGGGCCATTGTGTACTATGGAAGACGTGGACCGGGTGGTAGCGCGCCGAGGACCGACACCTCCCGCCTATTGGCGCCGCCCTCTGTCTGGCAGTGTGAGACTTTACGGGATTGGTCCATTCCCGTACGGCCCCGCCCCTGGCCCTGCCCCGCGCCTGGGTGTCTGTGTGTGTGTAGCTTACGGGGGTGGAGTGTCCAGCGAGTGGTCTCCTCCTCCAGCTAAGTGCTGCTGCGGCGTCCCGCGGCCTCTCCGAGAGTCTGGCGGGAGGGGAGAGCGGGTGTGGATTGGTCTTAACGGTAATTGTTGCGTCTCCCCGTCTCGGTGGTGCGTTGCTCCTTCCTCGGGAGCGTGCGTTTAGGGCGATTGCTCCCTGCCCGGGTTTACCCACGTACTGTGGGCTCGTGCGTGTAGAGTCGGACTCGTGCACACGCGTGTCTCTGGACAGATACGGTGTCGAGAGGCCAAGAGGGAAGTGGGCACCGGGGAGGCTCGACGTTTCTTTCCGGCCAGGGGGCCCAGGGGCAGCCAAGCGCGGGCCACTCAGGAAGAGGGGACAGCCCCAGCTTCCAGCTGTCGTCGCGGCTGCAGTCACAGTTTGAAGAGGGGTATTTAAAGAGAGGAACCGGGCCGGGCCCTGGGAGGAGGAAGAGGGAATAAAGCAAGACGGGCTGCTAGAATCGCAGACAGCCCGGGGAGTGCTTCCACTCGGGAGCCAAACCCAGAGCGCCCCAGACGGATGGGGCTGCGGTTGCTGGAGGCGCGAGGGATAATTTGTCCTTTCTGCGTTCACCTTCCTCCAGCTAAAGTCCGAAAAGTGGCAGGGGAGGGGCTTGAACGTGGAGGGGGGCACAGGCGTCCCGAAACAAAGCTTTGGACCGACCCCCCACAGCCTTGGGTGAGATAAGAGGCTAGGAGTGAAAGAAGTGAACTCGTTTTTCTGTGCCCGCTCATGTCAGTTTCTCACCCTTGCTTTTGAAATGGATTTTTTGTTTGTTTCTTAGTTCATTTAGCTCTTAACTTTGGGATAACTCCTCACTGCTTTGGCTTAAAGAATAGTATGTTCATGTGCCCATACTTGGTGGTTTTAGCGGGGAATATCCCAAGTCCCGAGTCTTTGTTGACAACAGAGGTGCTTCTTACGCTTCTGTAGAAAAATCTTTACGTTTATATAACTTCGTGAAACCCAGCAGAGTGAAAGGGCGGTTTTCCAGTAAGTCTCCCAAAAATGTTTCCAGGGACTTCACTTCTAGTTTTTTGAAATGGAATTAAGGCAGGGAGGGGGAGAACATTATGTTCTTATCTAGTTGGAAGAAACCTATGTAAGTTTCTTCTTGTTGTTTTGACTTGGGTATTAATCAAGCCTTCCCTGCGTCTTTAACTCTTAGTTTTCCAAAAGCAAATCTAAGTCTATTGCAACTTAACCTTTTGTGTGTAGAGATTGAAAGCGCAAATTCACACTCTATTTAAAAGTTGGATCTGGGACCCTGGATTTTGTTCTTACTGAAGAAGGGAGGATGTAGCATGTGCTAGTTAACCAGATCAACTTTCTGTTAGCTAAGTATTTTCATGACCAGCTAACTTTTCTTTTTCAAAAATTTTCCTCTCAAAGAACTAAGATTCCAGATGGCAAATTCTATGAATGGCAGAAATCCTGGTGGCCGAGGAGGAAACCCTCGAAAACCACGCATTTTGGGTATTATTGATGCTATTCAAGATGCCGTTGGACCCCCTAAGCAAGCAGCGGCAGATCGCAGAACTGTGGAGAAAACTTGGAAACTCATGGACAAAGTGGTGAGTTTCTGTCTGGGCCTATACTTGGCCCTGTTCAGCCTGAATGTGGTTTCTCCAGCTTTATTTATACCGCTAATTAATAATTGTTATGGTGACAGTCTTTTGATTTGGATTGACCATGTTTCTTACATCCACTCTGTGTTTTAAAAAGTTGGATTCAGAGCAAAGACTTTTTTCCCTTTTGTCTTCCTCTTTAAGGATCCAAGTTCCTCTACATGACTCAGATATGCAAAGTTTTTACTGTTGGCTGCTCTTTGTTGGTGCATGGCCATAGAATACTTTGGAAGTGTTTGTTCTATCTGACATGAAGTTATGTTGCTATTAGATAACAAAAGAGTGCAAACAAATAATATAAGAAGTCTTTGATGGGCTGCTTATGACAACCACAATGTGTGATGCTGAGAAATTTGCAGGGGAAAAAGCAGATCAGTCCTTACATGAGGAAGCAGTATTTGATAGAGTTTCCATTTTCATCTTTGAGAATTTGTCTTCATTAAGAAACTTTTTTTGTTGTTGTTAATGGGAGAGTTAAAGTTTCTTTCATCTCTTCCATTTTGAAACAGGAAACCTTTTTGATTGCACATTGTTTATCGTGAAAGGAAAATATATGATGGAGGTGTGGGGCTGAGAGTATCAGAAACCTCTGTGGTTTCTGCATGTTGCTTTCAGATGAACTACAATTTCACAAGAAGAAATTAGGCTAGATGTCAGAACTAGAATTAATATTACTTGCTTTTGAAGCAGTAGTGCTGTCCCCTAACATGTTGGTAAATGTTTTAGCACCTTATGGCTTTATTTCATAGATATATAGGGCTAATTATACATTTACTTGAGTCAGGGTTCTTTATATCTTTACGATTGAGGAAATGGAGGTTTAAAAAAAGCATTCTTTTGTAGGGATATACTAAAACCTCCATAAAATCAAGTGGTATCAGTCATCTTTATTTTTGTTTGTAACGGTGTGCAAATACTTGCTTCAAAAAGCCAGTGTTGGCGGTATTAAAAATACAGGAAGATGATAAGATTTACCTTATTTTCATTTATCCTTAGGGAAAGTACAAATGGATAGGTGAATGATGGGCTTGTTATTATTCTGTGTCTGGTGGTGCTAAATGCAGAGCCAGGGTATTTTTGCCAGAAAAGTACCCTTAGTTTTGGGCTTAATTGTGACCTATTTAAGCTTCTGCCAATTTATTCAAATTGTGATATTAAAGTGCTCCAGACAGAATGATGTCATAGTGTCAGCAATGCAACTTGCTGCTTGAGGTCAGATTTTGACTTTAGCATTGGATACTTAAGAATGAGGAGTATGTAGTTGAGAAAATTGCATTTATTTGGCAGACACAATACTAGCTGTCTTTGCTTTTCTCAAGAGTATGCAATTGAAGTCACTCTCAATGCATAAACCATTATTTGGGTGTAAGAGAAGGAATATAAGGTTTTGCTCTAACCTATCTGTTTTTTGAGTGGGGAAGAAATGGGTCAGATTTTCCCAGGAAGCTGCTCCTCCCACTCTACCCCTTTCTTTGAATGGTCAGATTTTGTACAGAACATCAAATGAAAACGATTTATGTAAGGAAGTGGTGAGCTGTACTTAATATAAAGTTGTTATTTGTACACTAAAAATGTGTGCATAATTTTGGTCTGTAACTGGTTATTAACATAAGTTTTATCCACTTTTATTTATTTCACTATGGGTTCTGGTAAAATAGATGGGTCTTTGATAGTTAAGCTTCTGCCATTTTTTATTTTATTAACCCTTTTGTGGATTTGGGTTTAGCCTCTCCATTTGAGAAACTTGACTTACAATGAAATCTATTACCTCAAGTCCACTTAGTGGAATGTGGGTTGGGGTATTGACAAAGGTGTATTGTATGGTTTTACCCTATTTGTCTTCATTATTTGTCAATGATGAAATTGTTGTGTTCACTTATGAATGCATTCGTGGGCTTTGTGGAGGGAAATTCCATAAACCATTATAAAGGAGCTCAGTTTATTTGTTACTTTTTCATCACATAGTAATAAAAGGCATTGATAATTACTAATTAAAATATATTTTATTTAATTGTGTAATATAGAAGCCTTTCCCACATGTATTTATCTTTTCTTCTTTATCAGTGATGAAGGAAGTGGTTCATAATCTCAACATTGTCCTAGTGATTACATCAGGACCTTTATTGTTAGTCCAAAAGTTAATCTCTTGACACATTAACTGTTTTGTAAAACAACTGCAATAGTATGAGTTTAGCTCATGAATAACAGAAAATTGTAATTTCAGGTCTAACTGTTAGTGATGTAAAAGGCAGGGTTAGGTGTTTAGTTAGCGGTTTTTTGTGTTTTTTTTTTATGAAGTCTCTTCAAGGGCAGATCTTAGAAGTGTAAATAAAAAATACGCTTTAAGTTCAGTCTGTCTCACCTACATATGCAGTTAGATAACTTATTTTACAGGGGATATGAAGCAGTCCAGTGAAGCAGTCCAGGGTATAGTTTTACCATACCCTGGCCTATAGAGTTTAAAATGGTCAACTGAGGTTCCAGTTCCAAGTAATTGTTACGTTTTTAGAAGGAAGGCTTTCTATACAAGGTCACTGAGAGTTGGAGGGATTAATTGCTTGGTGTGTTCTTTACAAGATGTAAAATGTAACAAAACTTCAGTTGCATTGAACATAGTAAATTTACTGAGAAAAAGAATACTAGCGTATCCCAAAGCCTCTCGTATTTTCTGGCCTTAGCTGTATGTGTCACTGTAAGTCAGTAGCTGACCCCAAATTCTTTCAAGTCAGTTTATGACTATTTGATACAGTGATAGAACTGTGATCTGGGTTCAAATATCCTGAAATGTGGGTCTCTTCCAAAGTATTATGGAGATGGGGTTTCTTAAACATTTATTGAGGGCCTACTGTGTTTGTATTAAGTACTGAGGATGCAAAGCTAGGTAAGATACAATAACTCTGCCCTTGACCTGTCAAGGAATTCAGAAACTAGCTTCAGAACCAGGCATAAAAATGGATAATTGCCATGTAGTACGGAAAGGGCTGTAATGCAGACTTATACAAAGTACAGTGGGAACAATGTAGAAAACAACCACCTTGTTTTCTGGCCACTGTTGAGACAGTTGTCTGTCTGGATTCTGCTGGACACTGCCTTTAGGAACAGCATTATTGTACTCTTGGATACGCATATGCTGAGGTGAGGGTAAGGAAATGATTGCTAATCAATGTGGTAGGAATGATAATTTATTAATGTGAGGTTCCTGAGCAGGATTTTCACAAGCATGATAGAAAATGGAGGAAACAATTTTCTATCTAATAGATACTAAATGTACTGAGCATATGCGGCTGTCCAGGAAATTAAAAAATAATTAATTGAAGCCTAAGAGCAAAGCACGTTGAGTACCTGCCTACATTTTTGTCTTGCTGTCCTTGTCATTTATTTGAAATTACATTACTGAGTTTTAAAAGCCTTTAAAAAGTTATGCCAAACAGCCTTTTGTGCCTTTTACCCTCAGTACATTTAGTATATTTGTCAAGTTTTGAATATAATTCATGCTCTATCTTTATAACTTCATTGTGACCATAATGTATTTTAAAGTTTGTCAACCAGAGAAGCTTGGATTATATGTAAGTATTTGTTGGGTTTGAGAATATCATCTTTGTTGGTCCCTTGGGACAGGGAATACCATTCATTTAAATAATTCTTCACATGTTTTCTTTTCCTTAGTGAATCTGTTCTGTGTCAGCAGAATTGTGGGCCCTCGTAGGTTCAGACAGATGATAACACATTAAATACCTGGGCAACTTTGTTTAGTACTGAGTTAGTTTTTGAATTTGTGCTTAAATAATTGAAGTGATCCTATAGTTTGCTACTGTCACTTTTATTTTCTTTATTTAGTTTTATTTTTAGAAAATTTTATTGAATTTATTGGGGTAACATTAGTTAATAAAATTACATCGCTTTCATGTGTACAATTTATACTACATCATCTGTATATTATATTGTATATTCACCACCCAAAGTCAAATCTTTGATTAACATTTATGCTGCTTTACCCTCTTCTACATCCCCCAACCCCTTCCCCTCTGGTGATCACCATATTGTTCTCTGTGCCTCCTATGAGTTTTCCCCCTTAATCTTGTCACCTTTTTTAACCCAGCCCCCCCCAAGCCCCCTCTCCTCCAACAGCTGTCAATCTGTTCTGTATTACTATGAGTCTATTTCTATTTTTTGTTTGTTTATTTACTTTCTTTGTTAGATTCCACATAGAAGTAAAATCATATGATATTTATCTTTCTCTGACTGGCTTATTTCATTTAACACAATGCTTTCCAGGTACATCCATGCTGTGTTACTTACTACTTTCAGAAAAAGCTTTTGATAAAATAAAAATAAAAAATTTAAAGCAGTTCTCCCAAGAGTTACTTTGGATTATCCTTGTTATATAGGGCATTTGCATAGCAGACACCTTACACAGTTAGTAGTATTTTAACTGGTATAAAATTGTAATCATCCAGATTTTGAAACAACTTACTTTACATCAGAGTCCCTTTATATACTGCCTATTGATTTTCTCTTTCATTTACCATATCTGAACTGTAGAGAGAGATTCATAATCATACGATCCTGTAAAATGTAGTAAGTGCTGTAGTATTGAGGCAGTGTGCAGTGGAGGCCAAAAGTTGATGTAGAATGCAGCATGGTAGAGGTGCTAACCAACTATTAATTCGTATGTTTTGGGTTCCAATGAGGTAGAGAATATATAGGTTGAAGGGATGATAGGTAAAGGGATATTGTGGAGTGAGAGAAGGTGCGTTAGAGAAAGATGAAGAGGCTTTACCACTCTGTCCAGGAATTTGAGCTTTATTTGCCAGACAAAGAACCATTGCAGTCTTTGAACAGAGAAAAAGTCAAGCTATGGTGTGATAGATTACTCTCTTGAATCTACAGAGAAGGATTAAGATAAAAGAAACTTAAAAGTAGGAATAATAATCAAGAGAAATTAA